ATGTTGTAAATCACTTTAGCGCTTCTAAAAGAAAAAGGAAAAAAAAAAAGCATAAATATATGTATTAAAATGGAGCAATTTAGTGAGGATGTGGCAGCCAGAAGACAGATGCAGGAAGGGCTTGGTGTTCCACCAGCAGACAGCAGAGCTGTGGCATGGGCTCCCCCTTACTGCTGGGCTGAGCCCATGAGCATGGGACCTGCAATACCTGGAGAAGACTGACTCTTGAGGCATCGAGGCTGGGAGGTGTTTCTAGGGATGACTGTCCTCAGTTTAGAGGATATCAAAGGGTTGATATAACCATATCAAAGTTGTGCTTCAGACATCACTGTCATTCTTGGGTTCAGCCTGGCTGGACAAAAGCAAAACACAGCAGCTCAAGATATGCATTTTTGTCCATTTTCTCTCAGATTTGCTCTTTGCTCACTGAGAGACACCACCCCACTCTCAGAAACACTGAAGTCAAGCTGAATTACTTTGGAAACCTCATGCACTTCAGGATGGGTGCTCAGGTGTGAACAGGTTGCTTCTGCCATTTATGGATTAAACATAGGTAAAAAAATAGTTCTGCTGTGTCGAATGTAAGGGCTTTGTCAAGAAGGGCAAATTGTTCTTTGTACCAAAAAAAAACCCCAGAAAGCTCTATGTCCTGCTTGTTGTTGGAGGGGAAGGAGAGGGTAGGAGGAAGAAGGAGCAGGAGGAACAGCACCTTTCTGATGTAGACAAAGTTTCCATTTACTCTCACCAGTCCAGAGAGGGGTTCTGATGCAGGCCAGCCTTCAGCCCAACATGCTCTGCCAAAACAGTGTTCATTGTATAACTAACAAATGACTGTCATTAGTGACACTGCTTGGAGATGAGGCCTCACTGGGAGCCTGGAGTGGGGACAGAGGGCTCTCCCCAGGGGGGGCCTCCCCAGGTCCCCCAGCAGCCATAGCTCAGGGCCCTGCTGAAGATAAGCAAGCTCATGCAGAGATGCTGCTCATTGGAGGCATCCCAGTCCCAGCCAGAAATTACTCCAGACAGGCAAAGTGCTTTTAGGAGCACTTTATTAATAGACATGGATAACAAACCACTGGTAACAAATGCAAAAAGCCCTTGGACTAAAGGGCTGTTTGCCCAGGCAATATCCCCACTGAGCTCAGCAGCCATTAGTCGCAGCGGGAGGCACCGGGAGCAGCGCTCACTGTCAGGAGAGCAGAGCTCCTACATCATGAAAATAAATGCCTGATCTATTTACCTTAGCAAAGGTGCCATTTCTGCACCTTGCCAGCTACACCCCACCATGCAGCCACCAGGTTCCAGCAAATGATTCTTGAGTCCTACAGAGCAGCCTGGAGATGTGGTTCAGCTTTTCCCTGTGCTTGGTGTTCGGTCGCTGCTCCAGAGGGCAGTGCAGATGTCTGGTCCTTGCTCTATGATTCCTCAATATTCCTTCTCAAACAATTGTTTGTGTTTCAGATATGCTGTTCTGTGCAGACATGATTAAGCTGTTTAGGGTGAATGATGTTGCCAATGAGGATAACCTCTCATAAGGTTAATTAATCATTTGTAAACCGACCTTTGGATGTATACATTATTCATGAGTACTCCTGAACTAACAGGCTAGATAATTTCCAGCCAGTGGGCTGTGTGTAGAAGTCTTCAGTAATTCCATAGCCGAGGGTAAGTGCAGTGGTGCAGAGAGGGCAATGCCTTCGGGCACCATCTCCATGCATGGTGCCTGTTTTGCCCATCGCTCAGAGCGGAGCCCTGCTTCGGGCTGGACCACAGCACAACAGCAGCTTTTCCTCTCCACCTGCATCTTTCTTCCTTGAAGCCTGACTGACCTTAAACTATCTTGAAGACTCCTCTCCAGGAGCTTGACATTTAAAAGTGCAGTGACAGAAAATAACTTCTTCTAAAAAATACGTGTAACTTATTTATCAGCACTAGTAGAGGGAGAGAAGAATTTAAATGAAGGCATACATATACATTGTGCTTCTCAATCGTGACTTTTTGTTGATGCTGTGCAGTAGCACTGCTTTGCCTTGAGTTGAGCTGCTCAGTGCATTACGGCAGTGGGTGAAGCTTTTCCCCACCTTCCAACCCTGGGCTGGCTGAAGAAGAGCAGAAATGAGGAGAGAAAGGAGCCCTCGGTCAGCCTAGGGCCAGCAAAACTACTAGGCAAGGCATCGGTCTCAGGGGAGCCGAGGAGCTAATTTAACATTTTCCAAGCACCAAAATCAAAAGGCAGGAAACAACAAGCCAGCATTTATTGAGAAAACACCCCATGGATCATTCTTTGTCAGACTGCATAAAGGGGGAAAAAAAAAAGAAAAAAAAAAAAGAAAAGGGAAAAAGAATAAAGAAACAAGAGACTAGCACTGCACAAATTGGTGAGCTCAGGACTAGGGAAACTGCCTACGTTTCTGCAGGGAAAAGCCACGTGCATCCCACATCCATCCACCCACCAGCCTGGCAGCAGCAGCCCCTGCCCAGACACCTTGCTCCCACCCAACGCAGCAGAGCCATGGGGGAGTCTCCCAAACGTGAAGTGCTCATGTATCTTTAATTATTGTTTCAGCCACGTAAATCCATGCTGAATTAAAATTCATGATGGTTCTAGGGTACAAGTGCAAACAATTTGTTCGGTAAACTTTGCTCTAATTGGCATTCTGAAAATTTCCTGTTAATCAAGCCCCTTGGGCTCAGTTTACCAGTGTAGTTCTGCCTGCCAATGTCAGTGCTCGGAGGGTGCATGCATGTATGCCAATTTTAAGGGTCTTTATATGATATTAACTCATACACCTTGTCCTCACATTAATTTGCAAGCAATTTTTTAACAACCTTCCTTGGCCTTGCCTTTTATCGTGCTGCTTCATTACTTGCGGCGAGCAAGCGAGCGGAAGAGCCATTGTAAAACTCAAAATTACATTCAAAACTGTCTCAGATCTGAATGCATCTGAAATTCCTCCCGGCGGGAGCCGTGTTTCCAGTGGCACTTGACTCCAAATGGCCATGGGGGAAAAGTGAAGGAATTCAGGCCAGCACAGTAAATGTCAGTTGTACGGGTGGTGCCGCTGTATGGAGGCTTCAGCCAAACCCACCTCGACACAGGGCTCTGCAGGTGGGGAACACTGTCGTTCTCCTGAGCCTACAGTATGAATATAAACTGAAGAGTCAAGGTATGAGCAGGCCTTGTCATCTCGGTCCTGATGTGCATGGAGAATGCTCCCAGCAGGCGTTAAAGCGTAGGGGGTGGGCTGCTGCAGATCACCCCTTCCAATGTGCTGCCCTGCATAGAAGGCCCATCCAACTCTGGATCTGTTCTCCAAGCAGCTCTCTCTCTCTGCTGCAGTCCCCAGTTGGTCCCACCTGGGGCATCCCACCGCCAGAAGGATTTGGAAGCTTTCCAGTGGCCCCCTTTCAGTTCTGCAGCCCTATCAGGCTAGTCCTTAATTCACATCCCAAAAGGAAAACCTACCTGAGTGTCTCTTCCCACCAGCACAATCACACAGGAGAATGGAAATAACAAAATAATGAGCGTCTGACAGATCAGGGAAGCTGTGGAGAAGCTCTCTTGGATGGAAATATGCTGTAAGGAAATGCAGAATTGGCAGTTCCCTGAAGAGACTAGAGATGGTGCACAACAGCAAACTGCTCCCCTGTGAAAGCAGATAAGAAGCATAATTAGATGGCATTACAGCAGCATCAGGGTCTAGAAGCTGGAAAGAAATTGTATAGAAAGTGGAAACAGGCATGTGCTGGGGGTAGAATACAGGAATAATACAGGTTCGCAGCATGCGAGCAGCCAAGGCTGCATGCTCAAGGTTTCAGGGGAAACCAGCCAGGGTCTGCAAATGCATTAGCTGTAAAATGAGAACAGCAAGACCTGTAGGTGCAGAACTGTCTGGGGAAGGACAGAGCGCTGACCAACTGTTCAAAGCAGGAATTTGCCCCCTCTTCTTCATTTCGGGCTTTAAAAAAAGGTTAATTGTGAATGAAGCTTAACAGAACCACCTTTGAAGGGAACGGTGAAGAAGGCCAACAAAAGGAAAGAAGTTTAAAGGCGTTTGGATTTATCAAATGTATTCAGAATGAGAGGATCTGATAAGATGCACCCAGGAACACTGAACTCTTGGTGATTATCTTCAAAATTTATGAAGGCACAGAGGTCCCTGGAGATGAGAGAAGCACCTTTCTTTAAAGTGGAGACATTAAGAAAATTTGGAATAATCAACACAATCTCAATTCCCTTCAAGAGGTTAGAAGAAAGTATTAAACGAGCAACTTGTAAGATGTAAAATGATGAATAAAATCAAAGAACATTGGTTTGTCAAGAGCCAGTCACGTCAACCCAATTTAATTTCCCTCTTTGATATGGCAACAAGCATACACGATGGCGGAGAAGCAGAAAACACAGATGTGAGACCTCTTGCATTTTCCCATGGGACAGCCCAAAAAAGGTGAGAAAATGCCCTCTAAAACCAATCAGAGCTCAACTGGCAGACTAACCTCTCTCAAAGAGGAGGGATCAAGAGGAGAGGAGGTTTCTCCAGCTCCAACCATCACTCTAGGGAAAGGACCATCGCCCTTCCTCTCCATACAGACAACGGGCCACGTTTCTCCAACTTGGCATCCCTGGAGTGTGGCCACATCCACAGCTTTGCCCAAGTAAAATCAAGGTTAAACCATTGTTATGCTGATTTCCAGCATCTCGTGTTCCTTTACCCTTAATTTCGCCATGACGTCGGCATCCCCACTCATATTCAAGTAGACATGTTTCTATGCAGCATTATCCCCATATTAACCTTAGGTGCTGATACTGAGCCAAGAAGATGCTCTCAGCGGAGCTTTAGGCACTCCACCCACCTTGACAGCAGAGCAAATCCCAGCAACCTGCAAAGTGTGAATGTGACCATGGAGGCTTTGCCACTCCGTTCCAGACAGATGGATGGATGAGGGCCCCTGCAAGCCGTGATCAAGGGACTTGGTGAGCTGTAGCACAGCTGCTGGAGAAATGCAGGAACAGAAGCTTTTGATACAGTTTCAAACAATGTGTAATTATCAGGTAGCTGAAAATTAGCCCATCTGTGCCTCGGGAAAAGACAATGAGAAGTTATGTGTTACTAATGGCTGAAAAGAGCTGGCAACACAAAACAGGGAATCTTCAGTAAACTTTTCTTTAAGGTAATATAATTACACGATGTAATCCCCAAATCTCCCAACTTTTTGGTGGCTTCTGATAAAGCTTATGAGGTCTTCATCCTTCTTTCATTTTCGTCTCCTCATTGCAGCCAGCGTGGATGTTAGCACTTCGTGCCATGCCAGCCATCTGGCTGGGCTACCTTCAGCAGCAGATGTGGGTGACATAAGCTGCCTTTGCAACAGAGCAGCTAACAACTTCTATCAGGTTTTCCTAAAGCAGATTGTAAATACCCGCATGCCTTTGCCACAGCCTCGCTATCTGAAAGCAAAGCACACAAACTTACAATACTGTTTTGAACAAAATTTCTATGCTGATAGAGTTGGCAGGCCGGAGTCCAGGTCTCTAATCCAGGTCAACACACACGCAAGCATCAGCACAGTTCAGATTTAGACCCCTTTTTGTTTTCTCTGCTTTTGGTCATTGCTGATCCAGCATGCAAAAAAAAAAAAAGGAAAAGAAAAAAGAAAAGAAAAAGAGCATGCTTTTTTTTTTACTGAAGTGCATTGAGGATCCAGTGATAAGGTCTTTGGGGGTCAGGGAAGCAAAACTGGAATAGCATAAAACTCATGCAAATAGCCTGGGCAGGGTAAATAGCTCATGATTTTTTTATTCATACTTTTGTCTGTGGAATAACTGGGAGCAAATTGCTTTTTCCTCTCCCAGTTCAAATTATTCAGAGACTTTTTCTGCTGATTTTTGCTATTCTCCCTATTGCGAGCGTTTGCTCTCGAAGATGGCCCGCTTAGCTCTGAATGGAAAGCAAATGTTGCCTTCACCTTCAGTGAACTTTGAAGCAATTGATTTTACCGGCATAAAAGAGAAGCTGAAAAGCGACCGCTCGTGGTTTTTGTAGAGGATGGGTTTTGCCATTTCACAACTGTCTGTGCATGAGGAAGAGGTGTCTCAGAAGAGAGATGACAGCCGCTCTTTCGTCTCGTCCCAGCTCAGCCAACAGCCCTGTCCTCTTCAGCAGGTGGGGCAAATCCCCACACTGTCAGCATCTTGCCAGCCACCACGCTTTAAACCATTCGTAATAGGGAGCATTCCAGCAAAATTATTCTCACTGGCTTTTGTCTGATAATCTGAGGTCAAGAAAACAAACTGCTTCCTCTCTGCTCTCTCCAGCACTGCGGCGAGAAATGCAGCCAAGCTCCGGCACCGAGAATAAAGGCAGAGTTGGCACAAACACAGGAGCTTCTTAAATGAGTTTGCCATTAGCCGGAAGGGCTGCAAATTGAAGCGAAGATAAGCCCCTTAGCATTTCCCTTCTTTAATCCAAGCCTCATAAAAGCGGAGATGTGTTCCTATTCAGTGGGCTTTATACAGAGGCAGGTATTTCATTTACCCAAAAACCCCTGGATCGGATAAATTATTAATGTTATTTATAAAGGCAATTCTGCCATTCAGCAACTTCTTTTGGATCCCTATGCTTAATCTCACTGCTTAGCATAAGATACACTCCAGTTAAAAGGCAAAATCACATTCCTTTACAAGGCCTGCAAAATAACGGAGTGCTGAGGTGCCTGAAAAAGGGTTGTAGTTTAAATACCGCTTTAAAGACTAATACATTTATCAGTGGCAAACACAAGCACTAACTTGTGCTTGCTTGCATCCTCCCTGCGTGCTGGCTGCGGCCTCATTCGCACGCATTGAGAGCCGTCAGATCTGCTCAGAGCGGCGGGGATGCAAAGCGCCCTCGTGCTAAAACAAGCCTTCCTAAGGCAGCTTGGTGGTTGGGTGAGGCAGCAAGTTTCCCTGTCCTCTCCTGCCATTGCCCTGCAGCGTGCCCCCAGACACCCACATTGGTTGTTGGTTTCTGCAGGATCCCCAGTTGCGAGGTGCTACCATGGGTACCGATGTCCTGAGGTCAGCTGATGGTGTCAGGATGCTCCAACACCACAAAATGGCTCATAGGGGACCCTGGGAGAGCCACCACCACCATCACAGATCATCTCGGCCCCAGGAAAGCCAGCACGGCGTATCACCGTGAAGAGCAAGGGAAGAAGCAGGAGGAGCTGGGAGTCCTGGGCTCAGCCGGCATCAAGATTTCAGCTGCAATCTGGGGCACAGTGCAGCAGCTCCCATAGCAGAGTGGTGGTGCAGCACTGCTCCAGAAAAAGGGAGAAAATGGGTATTTCAGGGTAAATGCTGAGGAAGAGGAGACTCAGCATCTCTGAAAACAGATCTGTTGAGTCCTCTAGGATAAGAACAACAGCTTCTTGCTCTCACATCAGAATTACATACAGAATTAACTAAAACATGATATTCTGAGAGCTTCTGGATGAGAAACATTCACAACTGATGTGTGGAAAAAGTGCAGTTGCTAACCAAACATTAGAAAGGACCTGAACTACATGACTAAGGAGAGTCAGCGTGAGAAGAGCTCGACACCAGGAAGGGGCTTGGAAAGCAGCAGCAATGCCAGCTACACAAACCCAACACACAGAAAGAATCCTGGCTCTCTTTCTTAGCAGGTAATTTTGAATTAGCTGAGGGAAGATGATGCATCTTAAAATGCATCTTTCTGAGAGTGTGGGGATCAAGAAATGGAGGCTACAGCAACGTGGCATCAGTGGGAATTTTTGCTAGAAGTGGTAAAAAGCAGAAGGAACACACCAAACCTGGCACTGTATTTGGACAGCTCGCATGTCTGACGCAAATAGCATTTAGAAATGCTACTTGAAATGTCAAAGAGGCCTCTTGGTGTAACAGGGATGTTCTCTCTGACCCACTTGCCCCCAGAAAACAGGGATGGCTGCAGCGGGGCTATGGATGGAGCATCCCTCAGCAGGCACATCCAAACAAAGGACACTCACCTCCTGGCTCCCATGGGCAACTCTCAGCCCCAGATACATCCTGGTTGCAGTCACAGCAGCTGTGAGCCATCCTCTGAATTTGAGGGCGATGCACATGTCACATGCAGGGGAAGAGTGCTGCCTGCAAGCTGCAAAGAGGTTTGGAAAATTTCTCATTAAACGTTTTCTCCATGCAATACATATGATCCCCAAATCCTTTTTCCAGCATTTTCCTCTCCAAAGCCTGCACTACAAACAGTTTAATTGAACAGCCAGCGCTGGCTGATGTTTTGTTTCGCCACAATTTGAACCAAGGCAAAGTATTTTTGTTTACTGAACTTGCTCCACCTTTTCACAGCAGGGTTACAACAGCAGCATGTATCGCTCACGGATGGTGCTGCTTCTAGGGAAGAAGGGCTCGGGGGGATTTGGGATTTGTGTTCTCTTCTGGGCTGGATGCTGAGGACAAGCGGTGGCTCGTGGGTGGCAGTGTGGTTTGCCTTTGATCAGCTGTGAGCAGGGAGGGCTCCTGTGGCTGCACTTGGAGCTGGAGATGCCTAAGCTATCGGTACCACAGAGCAGCATGCTTTAATGTCAGAAAAAAAAAAAAAAAAACTTATTATAAGATTGTAAGTTTGTTCAAGGAGCTGGAATGAAATATTTAAACACAGCACCACAGTATTTTATTCTCACAAAAATGCTGAAATGCCACTTGCAAATCAGAAATGTTTTAAAATTTGCTTTGAAATAGCAGCATTTTTGTGCAACTGTGAGGGGCTTTGTATTTTTTGTGGGTTTTTTGGTTTGATTTTGTTGTTGTTGTTGTTGTTGTTTCTACAAAGAAACAAATGGGAAGAAAAGAGCTGAAATATTGACCATTTCCTCACAAATGAGATGTCTGCTTCTCAGTCTGTTCTGGTGAGTCTGTTTGGAGCCATCATTCCCATCTGGAGCAGAGAGAATCAGCCTCGAGAGCAGCCTATGTTGTTGCATCCAGCATTCAAATTATATTATCTTTGTTCCTTACACTGACGACAAGACATTTAGGTTGGAGAACTCCAGTGGGCATTAGAGCTGCTCTGAAGGGCTTACATGATTTGAAGAAAATGTCATAAAAGAAACACAAGTTCTTGTATAAAAACACAGATGTCCTACTTTTTTATTATTATTGGGGCAGTTTTTGCTTTCTTTAGGTACGGTTTATTTGTTTGCAGTTTTTAATTTCCCTTTATATATATTAGACGTTGTTAAATATAGGAACTCAATTTGTTTCAAGCTCTGTTTAAAGTCTCAGTTACTTTCTTATGCATCTCCTGGCTGTTCCCAACCAGTGCACAGCTCCAGCCAGGCAGCCCAGAGCCACCCAAGTTCCTCAGCTCCTGGGTCCAGGCCATGTTCAGGCTGCACTCAAATTCAGTCAACATAAATTCAAATGCTGAATTCAAATGTCTAATGTCCAATTCAAATTCAGCATTGGAGGTTCAAAGTGCTATTAGGAAAGGGTTATTCACTAATAGTGACCAAGATATACTTGAATTCAGTATCTTAGCAGGATGAAAAAGCCTGAAATCCCCTAAGATGGTGACTGACTTTAAAAAGATCTGAATTGTGTACAGTTTGTTCATAGGGTTTTTAATACAAAATTCAAAGAACCGCAAGGATAAAATGTTGGCAAGAAGCATAAACACAGCTTAAAAATAACACATGAAAGTGTCAGAAGAAATGTATATCACTTATCCAAAACATTGACGATCAGAAATAGCTGATATGGTCGAAAAGAGAGGTAGTGTATGCGAACAAAAATCCTTCAAAACTGAAATGGGTCTGAACAGACAGCGCAGGCAAGGATGTGTCTTGGCCAGTTAAATGTACAGTGATAATGTCAGGGTAGTGAAAGATTCAAAGGCACGAAAGATAGCTTCCTCAGCAGCTGTGTGAGTGGGACAGACCCAGAGATTTTCTAGTCCCTAGGCAGGAGGAAGAAGCTATTGTGGTCACAGGTGTTCCTCCCCGGCTTCAGCTGTCCTATATGTAACCAACCTTTGGGAAGTCAGCAGATCTCCAGCTTGCAAGCTCCTCTAAATCCTCCTTGAGATACAATCCAAATGAGACAGCGTAAAATCTCACACAAGCAGTAGATGCACTGTAAAATAAGATAAATTCAGACCGTTTTAGCAGCGCAGCAAACAGGACCTCCTACCACCTCCTGCTGACCCCGATTCCCCTTCCTCCTCCCCCATTACTTCACCAGCTCACTCATGTTTTGGGCTCTGCTTTTCTGATTTCTTGCTGCTCCTCTCTGAGCCCACCCATGCACATTTATCTCCAAAGCACATAAAGCTGGCTGCGATACCACGTACTCTAAAAGCACATCCTGACACAGTTCCCACTTTACAGGTGGAACAGCACCAAAAACGTAACCGTGCTTGAAAACCTGCACACATCTGGTGGCACGTTAGCTGATGCTTTTGGCTCTGAGCTTTACTTCCTCACCTGCTTCTGGCTCCTGCAAATGGGAACGCAAAACTCCCCTGATCACCGTGCAGGTGATTAAGGGAAATTGCATTGCTGAAATGCTCTGTGGCTGCAGCCCTGCTTCAGCTCTTGTCTTGCCTGCTGGTAAGCTGCCAGCAAGAGGGAAGTGTAGGCATAAAATGAATAGCAGAAGAGATTGCAGGTAATTATGTTTCTTAAGCTGTTAACAGGATTGGCCATTTGATAAATGAGAGGATTTGGGAATGTTTTGTCACTGACAAGCCATTGTAAGATCAGAGTGGAAACAGGAATGTTTCCCTTCCATAGCACGGACAAGAGGGGAATTCTCTTGGGACACTTATACACTGTGAAATTTAGCCGCAACCTGGACGCCAGAGCAGGAGGAGAAAGGACAGACACAGGACTCCTCTTATGCATGTGACTCCTTTGGTTTTGGAGCTCCTCCAGAGCCTTCTTTGGTGTCCCCAGAGACTTTTGTCCTTTTATGGTGCCATCCACATCCCCACATGCAGTTTTTAGAGCCCCCAGGGTGCTAGATCTTTGTCTTGGTGCCCCAAATCCCTCTGGTTCTCTCGACCTTTTGGTTTGCTTTTGCAGTTCTCCTGCTTGCTGGAGAAACAAGAAGAAAATCAGCACTGCTGTTTGTTCCTCTGCTCCAGCATTGCTCCTCCAAGTGGTTCTCAGTGCCCCCAGAGCCCCTCCATTTCCATCCCTGTGCTTCCCAGGAGTTCTGTGTGCCTCTGGGGTCACTCTAAACCTTTTGGTACCTTCCCTATAAATCTCAGCCTGCTTTTAATGGCCCTCAGCACCCTCCATTTCTTTCTGCGTGTCCCCATTGATGCCCCTCGGGGGTATCCATTTACTTTTTGGTGTCCCCACCACTCAAGTCCCCCCATTTGCTCTGATTCCCTCACGAGCCCTCCATGGGTCTCATCCCTAAGAATGCACATGGGGCTGCTCTGGTTTGAAGGGGTTTACCCTGCAGTGAGGAAGGCGGTGTCAGCAGTGAACTGCATGGTGAAAAATCACCAGAAAAATCTTCTCAGATGTCAGCACCATGTGGCCAGTGGCTCCAGGATGCTCTCATAGATGCAGCTCTCTGCTGTGACCCCTTGGAGTCCTTCATCCTGCTTGGCATGGATCCTGCTTTCATTGCAGACCCTGACACTGGGGGGCAGAGAAAGAGATAAGGAAAAAACAAATACAACTCAACTCCCCAAAACTGATCTCTTCTACTGCTTCTCCTCGGATTGCACCAAGGCTGCCTTTGCCAGCCAGGACACTCTCCTTGCAGGATCAGAGCCTGAGGCAGCCCCTACCCATGTGTGGCAGCACAGGAGGAATGGAACACCCCCCCCAAAATCTCCATCTCGGCTTTTCATCTCTTTGCTTTACCTGGTTCTTAGCAGCTACAGCCAGATTACTAGTATTGCTTAGGTTTCCCTGCAGTTATCAGCAAGGAAGGGTTGCTGCTAGAAGCTGTGCCCCTCATATATCATTTTTCCAGCAGAGCACAAGCAGAGCCGGAGGTGACACACTCCCTGCTTCAGTTCTGACAGCAAGGGTTGGGTGCCCAAGGAAGGATTAGATCGGAGGCAATTAAGCTGCCTTCCTTTTTTTGCAGCATGTCCTACACTGGACAAGCAATAACAGAAATTCAGGAAGACAGAAGAGATGTGCACCCTGTCTCACTTTCTTCCCAGAGAGTGGAGAAGCAGCCCCCTATCTGTTGCATTGCCTCCTACTACACTATCCAGTGCATTTGTGTGGGGGAAGAAGCTTTCCTGCCCTTGCCTGGCTGCAGTTCCCAGCAGGCACTGTCAGCCTGCACCTGAGGAGGTGAGTGCACGTTTGGGTAATGTAGGTAGCAGAAGACACAAATAAGTTCTGGCAGTTTTACATCTCAGCTCTTCCCAACAGCAAAGTGGTGATTCAGCCTAAACAGCTGGATTGGAGAGGAAGACAAGACATGTGTTGATGCCAGCTGCAGTAGCTGTAGCTCCATCCCGGAGGAACACAGCATTGGTAGTTCTACACCAGTGCCAGCTCCCTGAGTATCCTGCCCACAAATCAAGATGCAACTAGTTGACTTCTAACCAACTGTAAACACCCACAAAAATTACAAAGGGATTCCCTTTGGGAAATAGGGTTGACCTGTTAATGCACTCTAGCATCCAGAGCACTTTAAGAACAGTGATTGCCAAAGATACTGGGTTATGTGGAAGCAGAAAACCTTCAGCTGTCCTTGCACAACCCATTGGGGCTGGAGAGCAAGGTCTGGCAACCTCAGCCGCCCTGGTTGGGCTTTGCTTTGCTGTGATAGCTTGTCTGGTGGGGTCTGACCCCCACTGTTCATCTTGGTGCTGAAATCTAATCTCCTTACTCTTTAAAGAAAGTCTCATTAAGGCTTCCAAATAAGGAACTCTTTAGAAAAGACTTCTCCTTAAGAGCAATGAGATGAAACTTAAGTGCAGAGATGAGCATGGCCCAACCAGAGCAGATGGGGTTGCCAGAGCTTGTTCCCAAGCCTCAGTGAGTTATGTGGGCACAAAAAAAGCCACTAAGGTTTCCTGCTATCACACAACTCAGTCCCTGCAGCAACTGCTGTTTAACTTCCAATTAAGCTGGCAGGGCCCCTGTCCTTCCAGATGCCCTGCTGTCCTTCCCCTGAAAAAATGCCTTCTACCATCTATTTAACTGCAGTGTTTATGAAGCACATTGCAACAAAGACTGGAGTTCTGTAAGAGCTGTGCTTGTTGCAGCCTTGATAAAATGGAGTATGGCACAAGCTGGGCTGAAGGTAGCACTGGTAAAGAAGGAGAAGCAGTTCTTTCCAGCACTGCAAAGAAATAGGAGCTGTTGCAGCAGGACAACCACAGTTTTTGGCTGCCCTCTTTTAGCTCCACAAACACAGCAATGAGATTTTTCTGAGAAAAGCTGGGAGTGAGACAAGCTGGGGATCAGCAGAAAGGCAAGGCCTGCTTCTGAGATATGTTAGCGAGGATTAAGTAAAACATGCACCAAACCAAAAGTCACCTTGTCTCAGTTGTGGCTTGCTCCACCTTCTGTTTCCAAGAGCAAAACCAACCCAGCACGATGCTCTCATGCCTGATTCCTGCTCAGCATTTCCTGTGGCGCGGCTCCCCAGTGAGGGCTGCAGGGAGCAGAGCAAGCTGGCAAACACTGGCCCCTCCCCCTGTGGCAGCTCCTTGAGGCGTAAATGAAGGCAAAATCCAGTTCTTTCTACTTCAAATATGATCTCTGGAAAACAAGATCACTAACGCTTTGCAGCTCCAGCTGAAGTCTAAAATGGTGGCCCCAAGCGGCTGGTGGAGGGGTGGACAAGAGGTGAAAAAGCAGTTAGCAGCAAGCACCTAGGAAAAGAAAATATGGGTTTTAACACAAAAATAGCAGGATAGCTACTCCCAACACTTCCATTACAACTAGTGGTACTCAGACTCCTGTTGTCACCCAAATAGAGGCAGGCATGAAAAAGTGCTCAGTGGGTTTCTGACCCTCTGCTCCAGCAGCCAAGCCTAAGACATCTCAGACACCCAGAAGGCTTGGCTGGGCCAGGCAAAAGCTCTCCCAAAGCTCACCCAAAACACATCCATAGGCGCAGAGGTGCTGTCTCGGGTGGGTTGCAGTTCAAGCACCGAGATGCCTGTTTTTGCAGCGCATTTAGGAAAGGAGGATGGTTTGCCAGCCTGCTCCTGGGGCAGATGGACAAGATGAGACTCCCACAGGGCTGACCCACAGTGGCAGCCTTTGCCATTTATAGAACCCTGACAGCCATGGGAGCTAGAATAACCAGAAAAAGCTTTTATCTACAGTGAAGAGCATCTGACAGTGGAAGGCCGAGCCAGCTGCTACCTTTCATCCCAGCCAACGCAGTGAGACATGCCCACAGGCACAAAGCCCACATGCCCAGCACAAAGTCCAGAAGCCAAATGCCCCCTCCAAGCAGCCTCAACTCAGCAGCTAATGCCCGCAGAGGGCAACCCTCCTGCAGCCCTAAACTTCTGCAAGAGATGTGCCAGGCCTTCTAAGTGTCCCTCTCAGTCACTGGGAAGAAAAATCTTCATCTCAGATTTAACTGTGCTCCTGCTTGTTTGACCCCAGCAGCCTTTCCCATGCTCCAGCTGCTGCCTCTGCAACCACACCTTGTGCTCTCAATGCACAGCTCTGAAAACAGCACCCCTTCCCACCACCTTGGCTGTGGGGGCTTTTCAGACTTTCCTGGGATAACTGTGCCTCTGGCTAGCAGCAGCAAATCCCCACCAGGCCTTCCATGGATCTTCTGGGATCAACTGACACACCAATAATGAGATGCTCAGGCCCCTCAAGCCACCTTGAGGTTTAGCATTGATCAGTCATCATTTTGGGGCACCTATTCAACATCTCCTGCAGTGCTCACGTCCTCCATTGCTCCCTGCACCATCAGTACTATGCTCCTTGCCTCACAGGGGCTTCTACTGCTTCACTGAGGAAAAACAGCACAAATTGCACTGAAAGCTACTCTTCAGTAAATGAAGGCAGAATCAGACCCACTTGGTATCTCCAACATCCCAGGTGCCAGGTCAAGTTCCTACCTCAAACTCCAACCCAGCAAATGGTGGCAATGAACTGGCTTACTACTGGGAGGAGTCTGGGATTCCAGCAGCTCTCCAAATGCCCTGCCTGGCAGCTGAGTGAATGCAACGGCACGAAATCTCTATTTTATTTAGCACCACCCAAGATTGTTAGCAAACGCAGCCACTAGGCACCAAATACAGCATTACTCCCAACCACATACAGCCCTTGGTAGCAGTGGGCAGCTGGGGAGCCCCAGCAATGGGCACATCCCCTGCCAGGGACACCTCTGAGCTCACAAAGCCATCAGAAGAACCCGGGCACAGGCCTTGACATCTCTGTCCTGCTCCCCAAGCTGTCCCCAAGGCTGCTGACACATGGAATAGCGTTAGCAGCTGGACGCTGGCAGTGGTGGAGCCGTCCTTCCCCCCAGCTCCCCCAGGCACCAGCAACCACATCCCTGTACACAGCTGACAGCTGGGGGAGCCCTGAGGAGCTCCTCATAGCACTCAGCTCTCAGTGCAAGGAGGACTGGAGCCAAACCTCTCTAGTAAGCTGCAGCAACACCAAAGAAGAGCCTGTGCCAAGGTAGAGGGCTGTCTGCTCCTGGGAATGGAGAAGCTGCCCCAGCTCCAAGAGGATATTTAAAATTATTGCAATTTCCAGAGAGGGAAAGGAAAGGAGCAGCAGGGCCACCACAGCCTTGGAGATAGACTGTGAGATGTTAACAATTCTTTTTTTACAGAGAAGGAAAAGACATTGCAATAAAACTTGCTTCTAACAATATATAAAAAGAAATACAGGGATTTGAAAAGGTGGAGGACAGCCTCACAGACATCTGTGCTTGTCATTAGTCTTTGTTCCTTCTCTTCAGAAGATTGTTCCCAAAAAAGAAGGGGAAAAAACCCTCACCCGTAGCTCTTCCACCAGCTTGAGAGGACTGCAGTTTTCAGCCAGTCCAGCTCTTCTCCCAGCAGCCCTGGCACAACCACAGCATCAAACTGCGCTGCTGCAACTCGAGGATGTGGCTCCTGCTCTAGCCCTCGGCTGCTGACCTCCGCCTCCCTCAGCCACAGCATTGCCAGTTCCATCCTGCTGGATAAATCATAAGTTTATTTTCTATTTCATCTTTTTTTGTGAAGAGAACATAGTATAAATACAGAGCTGCAATTAAAAAAACCTCTTTTTCTACCAGCAACCAAGGCACATAAGCTAACCTAGTTTGGTGTTGGCAACCCTCAGCCTCTTTCCTTGTGGTGCTGTTTAAATACCTGAGTTGACTTTCTTGGGAAGTGGTTAGTTCAAGATTGCAGTGTGAATGCCCTTCCCTAGAAAGACCTTTGAGTGACCTTGCTAATCTATTCATACATTCTTTCAGCTGTTGTCTGGGCTAAGCTCCCTATAGTTACCACAAAAAAAAAGCACTAAGATAAAGGAAGGTTGCTGAATGCTGACAAAGATAAAAGGGTGTCAATCAAAATATTTCTTACATTTCAAGTGACTTTTCCACTCCCTGGAACCCTCCACATGGTTTTCAGTACTAACCAGAACCCTCTGTTGGGCTTTTGGCACCCCTCACAGATCTCTCTGTACATCTTGGTTCTCAGACACCGTTCTTTGGAGTTTATCAGCCCAGTGGAATATGCTGCATACATGCACAAGGAGGCTCTGCAAATACCTGCACCAATGTCTGGGGCAATTCAGCTCCCCTGAGCACATCAGAACAGCAGCACAGATAGGTATTTAGAAACACAGCACAGATCAGGCCAGTCAAAACATACAGCTTTTCCTTCTGTGCTCTCCATTTCGCGTTCACCATCTTCTCACTCCTCCATGACCATAACGTGAGTCTATCTGTAAGAAGAGTTGTAAGGCTCCCCTGCTTGCTAGCAACCACAAACCCCATGTGACAGATGAACCACAAAATAATATGGAGGTTTTTCGTGTTCAGAAAGAAGTAGCCCTGGCAAACACTGTTGAAAGCAGCAGCCAAGCCTCTCTGCTGAAGGAAGGCTCAGCAAAGGCAGCACGCCTACCACACCATCTCTCTTCTAAACACCAGCCCCACTCTTCAGCCAAGACTGGAAAGGACAGGATGACCCTTGTCTTTGGTACCCAGCACTTGACATGATAACTGAGACTTTCTAGTTAATCTAGGGAAAGGAGTTTTGAAACAACTTGAAGGAAGCAACATGAATATGCACCAAATATAGTTGAAACCTGCTGTCTATTGAAATGGCTCATTAATACTGCACAGACAAAGCAAATGAGTGATGCTTACTGCAGAGTTACCAGTGAACATATCTGTGCTCAGATTATTGAAGCAGTGCAGAATATTTCACCCCATATGGTTTGCCTGAAGAGGCTGTTTCAGATAATGGTTCTCATGTTGTTTCCATTGAATTTCAATATTCCCCAGAAGATGCTCACTGGAGCACTCCAGAGCAACCTTGTGTCATTTGGTGCCGCGTGAACTGGCAGAATGCTGGGTACTTACAATTAAAAGTGGATTACAGAAAAATAATAATGAGGTTCAAATTTGAAAAGAGGAAGCATTAAATGTTTTCACTGGAATCAGGTTAGTAAACCTAGCTTTCAGCAGGATTTTTAAATGAAAAGTGTCACTCACAAAATAATTTTATGTACATGGATAAAATTAATCAAAATCACTGGATGAAAACTAGCAGAAAATTAAGTATCTACAAAATATGCCTAGGCACCAGAGATCTCTTGGCAGCAAGGATGGAAAGGAAGAACTGGGACTCACGCTCCATCTGCTACTAATGAAAATGAAGAGACACAGTGGTGAGAGTGCAAGACAAAGGTTCAGCACAGGAAAGCCCCTCAGATTGAAAGTGCTGTAACGGTAGTTATGAGAAAAGAGAGCCACTGGGCTCTAAGGTATAAAGAACACAAAAAAAATACCTACACAGCCAAATCCAAGGGCAGCATACCATGCTGTCACGCTACCACCTTGTCACCTGTTGGGGGTGCTACAGAAAAAACTTAGAGTGTAAGATAAATATGTATTCTCAGCCTGGTTAATTTGCTGGATTTCTAATTGATAGCTTGTGGTTGCAGAAATGTGCAGCCCAAAGCAAACACACGTGAGCAGAAAGAGAGGATACAGCACTACGGCAGGGGGTCTGTTAGTCCATGCACAATGAGCTGCATGCATGTATTTCTATTGATACGTACTCTGTGTTTTTCTCTGCCCATACACTCTGTGCAGTGTCAGCAGAGTGGTGCAAGGAGGCCGGAGTGAACATGAGAACAGCTCTGATGAAGGAATGAGGACCTCCAACATATGGTGATGCAGCACAGAGAATGTAAGTGTCTGCGGAGCACAAACAGCATGTGAAAGAGGGGGCAGATTCCCAACAACACTATTCTACTGCCTGCTGTACCTCCAGCCCTGCTGAAGCTGTACCAGGATGCCTCTCCAGACATAAGCAGCACAGGTAGCACTGCCCCCCCTGCACTGCAGAGCTCTTCCCAAGGTACCGTGGCCAAAGAGATGCTGTTCTGCTATCCTAATCCTCCTCTGGGTCTTCATACCTTCAAATAATGAGATTCTTGGTAACAGTAAGTCGCTGTCTTCCTTTATAAAGACCTAAAATAGATTGAATCTGAACACACTTGCTGTGCTGGTGGTTTCATGTATTTGCTGCTACATCTGCATGAGAGGTACCGTGTGGTGTTGAACTCAGTTCCACACTCTTAACAGGGAACACACAGGAACCAGCACTGTTCTTTCTGCCCCTACCCTACAGACTTTCCCTGTCCCCATATTTTTGCTTCTCTCCCTGATTCACAACTATTTCTCCATACTTTCTATGTCCTCCTATCTGCACTGTTTTTGAGTTCTGCCAGCCAGCGCTGGCTCCTCTGCTGTGCATTGCAGGTAAAATTCTGCTCCTGCCTGAAGCCAGGATGGTGCTTGTTGTTGGACAAGGTCTCTGTGGAATACATCGCTCAACACTGGCAAGTCTCAGCAGAACACACATAGACTAACACAATGAGACTCGTGACATGTCAGATTTCAAAGGGAAAAAAGAAATGCACATCTCTCACCAGGGTCATTCCTTTGCTATATTGCAAGCCCCTACTTCAAATATTAAAAGACTCCAGGTTGTCAAAAATGTACTATATTGGGTTGCTGCTGGGGAGGTTATATATACATATATTTATATGTATACAATATCAAATATTTATTACAAAGATACACGTATGTATGTGAACACTGGGGAAATGGTATATTATTCCTGGCTCTTTGGGCATTTTACCTGGCACTTTAAAAAAAAAAAAAAAAAAAAGCAAAAATTAATAGACTGCCAGACACTCAGCATGTAATCTTAAAACAATTGACTCGCGTGGTTAACGTTTGTTAGTCATATCAGCAAACAAAAACAAATACAGAAATGTCAAACACTAGCACTGCATCTACCTCGTCGTAAATCAATAGCCAGGAAAACTCTTGACCTACATGAACAGAAGCATGAAACAAAGAAACCTCAGAATAAAATCCGTGGCTGACGGAGCTTAGTACAAGAAAGTTGTGTTTGCAGAAGAAACCCTAGCAACAGTACAGGGTCACTGCTCGGTGCAGGCAGTAGAATTGTGAAGGATTATGCAGAAAATGCAGAAGTGTTCAAACAGACTTTTATTCAGTATTTGGAAAGAAGGATGATTTGCTTTCATTGCTTGAAGATGATGAAATACTTTCCAGTCTATTAGTAACTGAGAAAGATGTTAGAATCTATCAGCAATGAACATTTTTAAATCAGCAGGCTCAGAAGCTCTGCAATAGTTGGCAGAGAAGCTCCCGGGTCCACTAACACTGAATGTTAATAGCAGCAGATCTGTAAATGCCCAACTTATAAAATCTGTTAAATGAGAAGGGAAGCAAAGGGAATCAATGAACCATCAGAGAAAAGAGCAACTCTGGGTCAAAGCAAGGGAGGGTTTTTTCCATTCCATCTATCAGCAGGACTGTCAGGGGTAACGCGCAGTCCAGTTCTCCTAACGAACTGAAGCCACCACCGTCCCTGGGCTCATTTAACCCACTGGCTCCGAGGTGCCGAGTTGTCATCTGGCAGTCACACAAACCAAAGTTTTCTTCTTGGGAAGGAAACTTTGACTTCTGGGTTCATTTCAGCAGGAGGTTCAGACTAACAGTGTCAGAAGAAAATGGCTAACGAGGTACCAGCTCCCTGTTACTGCCTGCGCATAAGGTCAGATCGCTTTCCAAATGGGATACGTATTTTTTGGTGAAGCCTTTCCTTAGGTGCATGTGAAGCAGCTGGCTCATGGCCACGAGGTGTCCAACACGAGGGCACACAGAAGCAGAAGGAACCAGCCCACAGGACTGCAGTGCTGTGATGCAGCTCTCAGATCCAGAAGCCCCACCTCTCCCAGCCTGCAGCAGCATCCTCGTGTCTTTGCTGGCTCCAAGCACCCACAAGAGAACAGGCTTGGTTAGCTCCATCTACTTTATAATGAAGGGCACTGAGAAGTGAACTATATGAGCATATACTCCGCGCTGCTATGTAAGCTCACTCAAATAACTGAATGGGGCTAGAAGGCATTATTAGGAAGAAACCATCCCTGCCTCAGGATGGCACTAAAATATATTGCACGTGTCCAGCTGTGCACGAAAGGTTCTCTTTGGAGCTTATTGATGTTTTCAACAAAAAAAGGTGTGGCACTGAACAAACTAGTGCAAGTCGAATAGTGGAAGCTGTAATTCACTCTGTTTGATCTCCCGTTTAATGTAATGAGGCTTCGCTGGAAAAATAAGAGCAAAAAAAGATTAATCAAAATCCTATGTGAATTTATTTATGGATCACAAAAAATGTTTCTAGAATATCCAAGACATAGTCGAGGGATAAAGTTAGATGAAGTTAGGATTTATCTCGATTACCTAACCTGGCATTAAAATCCTTTCCACTGATCAGCAAACAGAGGGATAAAAAGATTTCAGAGACATTATGTAGGTCTGGAATAATTCCCAGTACGAATTCCTATAAGAAGAGGAATTGTGGGAGGAATACAAATATTAATCAGAAGAAAAGGTTCTAAATTGGGAAACGGTT